AAGTGCCCATTATTATAAATAATCCTTATTTCGACAAAAATATTTTATCTTGTAAGAGACATAAAAACAATCAAAGGTACATTCAGACTAAATCCTCTAGACCCCGAACAGCTTCCAGCAGGTTGACAAGTCTTCTGTTTTCATCTGTCACTGGTTGCATGTCTTGTTGGACCACTCCAGCTTCCCTTGCCAGACCGTGTAGATGGCAAGCTGCCTTCTGTACTTGATCCAGGAAATCTCGGATTAATACGTCTCTGTCTTTCACCCTTTGTTGTGCTTGCTCCCAACGGAAACGCCACTGCAAACCCCCGTCGAATGGCACTATCTGAAGCTCACTCGCTTGCTTTTTGAAGCTATTGTTTTACCATCTTTCTCATGTTGTTTCTCCATATCAGCCATTTGGATTCTCAGGCGTTGGATTCTCAGGAGTTATCCTTGACTTTATCTTGGTACCCCTTTCTTAAGTCTTCAAGCTCAAAATAGACTCTTTTCTGCTCTATTTCCAGTTTGTCTGCTCTATCTTTCTAAGAATTGGCATCTAGTTTCCATTGATAACGTTCAACTTCAAGTTCCTTAACTCTTTGTTTCATCTCATTATTCACAGCTTCAAACTCTGCCTTGACTATCTCAAGTTCAGAAGGGACAGGCCTGAGATGTTCCTCCATGGTCCTGGTGTCTTCACAGTCTGGCATCAGGATGCTATCATTCTTTCTCAATCTTCGCCACTCAATATAATCCGGAGTAAGCATATCTCTGGCAGCCACGACATCCATCCGGGATACTTTCTTCCATGACTCGGCTGCCTCTTTGATCCTCTTCTTATAACTGTCACCGTGATACACAAACTCTGATGTAGATAATCCGTATGTTGCTGGGATAAACTGACGTGCCCCATACTGTCTAAGTGCCAACAACGGAGCATACCCAACTGCACCCCAAAGTCCAAGTAAGGTCATAGTGTCAGAATCCCCAAATCGGAAAAGAACGTCACTGAGGAACAACCAGGGGGCTCTCCAAGTAATATCCCGGTCCTGAAGATGAATGAAGACCTTCATCCATTCTTCCTTCGAAGCGTCTTCGTGCCATTTCATAGTGATGAACTCTCCCAATGGTGAATAGGTAGTGCTGAATCGGCGGTAGGCAACCCCGTTAGTCTTCCAGAAGTGGCTGTGAATCCAGACTTGAAGGAGCTGAACACATCCAATGAACCTTCCTCCACCAGTTCTTCTGCAATGATTAAGAGACCGAAAGGTCTCGGCTAAGATGGTCGGCGCTGGGTTGACTCGCCTTGGAAGTTGTTCAAATAGTTCTACTACGGCTGCATCGATACACCCCAAGGTCGTCGGAAAGATAATCAAACCGTACAGACCCAGTGCAAAAAGATCTATAGTCTTCCATTCATCAGGGTGGTTTGGATCCACTCGATTCCTTCCCCGTTACCTTTGTGTCAAAGTCGATCAGTCACCCATTTTTCATCAACCCCTGCAATCTTAGCTAGTCCGTTCTTGAAAGGCTGACTCTTGATGTTTTTGATATATGCCCTCTCTAGTCTGATGTTTTCGCAGTGCAGTAGGGTAGTATACTCTTCAATTGTGGGCACCATGTCCTCCCGGTTAAAGGTGAAACAACTATATCTCGGGTTTCAGAATTGAATTAATGCTCGGAGCAGAGGCTTATCAGTCTTGACATAGAGTAAGAGGGCAATATCACCATATTGTTGGCTGAACTTCTGCTTTCTGTCATTCCCTCAACTGTCCCAAATATTTCGCAGTTCTTGGACATCATTTTGTTTCAGGCTGACAGATGCGTAACTAACAAGCTTTGACACATAATTTCCCTGAAGACTGTCTCCCTTCTCTTTCTGAGTCTTCTCGGACCATAGTCATGCCTCAGCGTTTTTAATCTCTTATATTACAACACCTTTGTCCATTAATTCGGATTTATTTTGTGTTTAACAAACGTTTTTTAAGGATCAATAACCTCTTGTTATGATGCAAATACTAGAAAACAAACACAAAGGCAAAAGGATTAGTAAAATAAGAATAAAAATAAAATGACGAAAGAAAAAAAACACAAAAAAGAAAATGGTTAGGGTAAAAATATCTTAGGTTTTGGAATGTGGTTTCAGGGTAGGCTCTAATTCTCTATGGTTTCCCGGTTTAGGTTCTAAAAACGGTACTTGAGTTCTCCTTGCTGGTGCCCCCTTGGGCTTGCCAGACCCTTAGTCTTAAACCCATCACAGGCTTGTGTGGACTAAGTTAAACTCGAGAGGATACATTTTCTTATGCCCGCACAGTGAATAAATTCACACGAAGACATAAGGTATATAAATCCCGAAGGCTACTTGCTAGGCCCGCATGGTGAATAAATTCACACGAAGGCGTCGCTTTCACCCCCACTTAAAACAGAGTTTAGAGCTCGGGTATAGAGCCTTAAATGAAAAAGATTTGAAGGCTGAAATCACTAGAAAACGATTAGTACAACTATTTACCCGAAAATATAATCAAAAGTAAATAAAAAAGGATCGAAATGTTACCTTAAAATTTAAACTTACTATTTTCGTTAAAAAAACAACTGAAATTACCTTAGCCTGACTCACTTACTTGTCCCCAGCGGAGTCGCCAAGCTGTCGCAACCGTCTTTCGGTTGGGCCCCGGAATTGGGCTTCGACTTGAAAAATGTGGATTGGAGTCACCACCGATCATTTATTTAAAAAAAATGGGTTGATCGAATACCCTATTTCTTACCTGATCTGCGTCTTTCTAAAGATGTGTCGGGTTCGGGAGTCGGTTACGGTCAAGGAAGAATTAGCACCCTTGAACCGCCCTTTCGGTACTACATAATTTCCAGTTGTCTTTGATTAAGAAAATTGCAAGTTAAATTAAAAAGTAAAATTTGATCTGAATTACTTACCCTTAATGAGTTTATGAAAATACCCTTAAAAATAAGATGTTAAAAGAAAATAATAATAATAAAAGAAAGTAACAAAACTAAAGAGTAAACCAAGGAAATAAATGAAACCAATAATAATAAACATAAAATAATTGGATGAAAAAAAAATGAAATTGAATAAAATAAAATAAATGAAGATAAAATATATATACAAAAAGAATAAAAAAGGTAAAGTGTTTTTTAAAAAAGAAAAATAATAATAAGAGCAAAAAACTAAAAATATAATGAAAATAAATAAAAAATATAAATAAAATAAAAAAAATATACATTTATAAAAATATAAAAATGTATGTATAATATAATAAAATCTAAATAGTAATAATAATAATAAATAAATGAAAAATAAATATACATATAATATTAACTAAAAAAATAGGAATCATAGAAATATAAAATAAAATGAAGTAAGAATATATATATATATAACGTTAAGAAAATATAGTAAAAAATAGTAAATAAGTAAACATAGATAAAAAAAATAATATATATATATATATAATAGGAAAATAATATAATATAACGCAAAAAATGAAAAAAAAAGAGAACTATAATAAATATATAAAATATAATTAAATATATATATATATATATACATATAAATAATAAGGGTTAAATTAAAATAAAAAATGAATTAGGGGTCGAAATTAAAATCCAATTGAAGAAAAAACGAATATGTGTGTATTTAAAATCAGGGGGACCGAAATGGGCATTAACCCACTGTAGAGGCAAAACACACGGATCCACACGACCCGTTTATAAAAATCTGAATAGTTTTTCAAAAAAAACACAAGCCTCGGGGGCTAGATCTACAAAAATAGATCTCAAAAACACCCCCGTTCATTGGCCAAAAACACTTCTCTCGGTTTTCTTTCGAATCAAAACACAGCAAGGGTAAGGAAAAATAACATGCGAAAGTATGAACTTTACCTTTCAAAATATAAATGCTTCGAAAAATGGCTACGAGTTGCTTGTAATTTTTTGCTTGGTATTTCGTATATCTCTTCCGAATGTGTTACAATAGTGAGTTACAATGACTATTTATAATGCTTGTAGATCCTATCTTTAGGAGTTTAAATAATAGTAAAACTCTATCCTATTTTTAGGAGTTTGAATCCTAGCAAAATTCTATCCTATTTTTAGGAGTTTGAATCCTAGTAGAACGAAAATGTGTTGACAGAATCATTATGAATCTTTTTCATCTTATAATTACAATAAATGTACTCACTTGATAATCCCCGCTAATAAGATGTAGAGATGTTTGGCTAATCAACAACTTTATCTTTCCCTTTTTTCTTGCTAGATTCAAGAGATTGGTTATGATCTTATGCTATGGAGAAGAGCTCAACCCACGTGAAGAAGAAGAATAAGAGTAGAAAATATCTTATCGTTCCTCTTTTCTCCATTTAAAATCCCTAATAAGAAATATATTTTAAATTTATTTTCCCTCCTAAAAGACCAAAGTGCCCTCTTAATTTATCTATAGTTACAAATTAGTCTAATCACTATTCCAAATCATTTTCTCATCTTTTACCACTTATTCAAATAAATCTTAAATTTTCAAATCTTTTCAATAAAGTCCCTAACCTGATATTTGGGGTATTACATCCTAGTTTTAGAAAGCATGCATCACCACCTTTTAGATACGAAGGAAATTCAAAGAACGGTATCCCTTTCAGATTTGACAGCAACGGCAACAAAAGAAGCGCAAAGAGAGCCTACAAGTCCAAGGAAACATTAAAATTCAACAACAAAACATATGTTCCGTACATACAAAATGCTCGAGGAAAGAAGTGGCTTAAAATTTAAGATATTTTTAATTGGAATGAAGCTCTGCAAGTAGGTATGCAGTAATTATTATCTATTATTGCAAAACTTGATTAATAGAGCAGCTGAATCTGACTATTGCTCAGGACCTTTGAACCATCCAAAATCTATCTAAATGAGCAATATTTGATGCGGCAATACTTAACAACTTGGTTTCCCTTGTTTAGTTCAAAGAAAGGAAGAGCATGGATAGGAGTTGATCATCTTTCATGGTAAGTTTTTGGAAACATAGAAAGTTTTTATAGAAACAGTAAGATCATCCACTCAAACTAATATAAGCCAGAAATCAACTCCATTTTTATGCCATCAAAAGGAACCCGTCAAAAGGATTGAAAGGAATGTACTTTGAGAAACATTTTTATTCAAATATTTGCATCTTGAAAGACTAAATGAGCATACACCAATAGGATTGATAGAAACGAAATGCAAGCTTTTACATCAAAACAACAGACATACCTGAAATCCAGATCCAAAAGAATTGACAACAAATATATCAAGTGACTTTGCCTGCACAACTATATTTGAAAGTTTGAGCATCAATGAGAAAATAAACAAGATAACCTAATATGGAAAGCCAGTGTGAGAGAAAATGTATACGTTGTGGCGCTTTGCAGCATCAAGGAAAATAAATTCCTGTTTCAAGAAAGGAAATAATGTTACGTTTGCTTGTAAAATACCATAGAACTTACAGCAGATGGAAATTGTTTGAACCTTAATAATTGATGCACCGGCTTGAAAAGCTGCTGATATTATCATCAGTCCTGGCCACATAAACTTAATTCCAGGTAGCATCTGACCAGTATCAGAACCACTAAAATTACAAAAACAGCAAACTACCATCAGATCTTTACCCCCACTCAAGTACCAAGGAGAAATGCCTGTATGGAGACACTCAATCTGGAATGATAGTCCGGCCAAAGCAGTGCCGTAACAGAATCATGGTACTTTACTGAACTGCTCTTCTCTAAGAAGTGAAACTGATCGTAACCAAAAAATGGCGGGAAAAGAGAACCGGTTTACTTGTGTCGGGTACCTAACATAACAGAGATTTATTCCTTTCCATCCAATACCACCTAAGAATTTTAAGCTACAATGCTATAGCACAACAAATGAATGATGCAGACCGGAATATTTCTAGTATTGTCTTTTCAGTAGCTTAAGCCATCATGTAATCTTACTTTATGCATTTTTAGGCAAAAATTTTATGAGAAAGAGCAAAGTGTCCATTAGGTAGGTAAACTCTTCCACTAGGTCTGCACCTTTGTACCCTACAGAAGATTGAAGGTGAATACCTACAGGCTACAGGAGCAGCTATTGGCAGTAAAGAACAGATAGCATTAACATACCTTGTAACAGCTATTATGACTCCCACTGCTACAAGCAAACAGCCGCCAATTTGGTTAAATGAATAACGGCTCCCCAATAGAACAGCTGAAAATACAAGCTGCCACACTAAAAAGGACTGCAAGATAATAGAAGTATTATTTTGATTCCTAAAACAATCTACTATCAAACATCCGTAAATTGACAACGAGCATCTAATCTAAAATTAAATAAGGGAAATCATTTCTTGTGTTCCATTACTTATCCAAAGAAGTAGATTTATCATAGGCATATTCTATCATTTTAAAGAGAAAACCTGATTCAATATTGGAATGGCTGGTCCTGGAAGCATCGCTGTAGAAATTACAAATTAAATACAGAAGCCAAAAGTAAACTCATTAAATCAAACACAAAAAAGAAATGACATTTATTGTGTCTTAATTCAGACAAATGGATCGTTTGGAAACATCTTAACAAATTCAAATTTACAGATCAAGAGTTCTAATATACTATTGAAAAGTTTGTACCTGCTGAAGCCATTCCACTAGCAACTCCAAGAGCTTCTAGCATACCGATGGCTGCGAATCGCGATTTAGGCAAACCTAACATTTCATTAGTCACAATCCCCGCCCGATAACGTATAAACAGAATCGAAAAATAAATCATCACGTACCTACATTTTTCAAATACAATTAATTTGTTTTTTTCCCTCTCAATGAAACTGAAATTAAATTGAAGTAGAGAGAATTTTACCCAAAAGTGGTAAATTGAGCTAAAAAGAAAGGGTATTCCTTCATGGGAACGAGTGAGAGTTTATAAAGAATGCGGTTGGCAACGGCGAATGTAATAGTCACGGAGGAGCAGATTGCGATTAGCTTAGCGTCGGCGGCGGGGCTTGGTGTTTTACTTAAAGCGCGAACTGTGAGATTAGGGCGGATGACGACGGAGCTTTTGGGTGGAGCTATGGTGGTGCTACGGTTGAGCTGGCGGTGGAATGAAGAACGTTTTTGAGGGAGGGACATTAAGATGGGAGATTGAAGCTTAGCTGAATTGGAGTTGAGAAGGGTGGAAGTTGCGAGATGAGAGGGAAGCGAACGAAATGACGACGTGGTGGAGAATGACATTGTAAGGAAGAAAGGTTGACTGGAGAAGAGAATGCAGGCGGCTGACTGACGACTCAATTGGCTACTGGCGAAAGCAAAGCAATGGTCCTTTTATTGTTTATCTGAACTGGTTTTTGACTTTTTTGGATCGGGGAATTTGAAAACCATTCTGCAATATAAAAAAAACGTGGTGCGAGGGTTCATGATTTTTTATTACTTTATTTAATTTAAAAATTTGGACTATTAATAGTTTGTTTTTATTTTACTTAAAATAGTAGTATTTTGTTATATTATAATGAGTAAATCTATAATATACATAATTGAATTATATTTAAATATTTTTATTAATGATTGAATTTCAAAAAAAAAATATTATTTTATAAAATAATTATTGTGATATTACAATAATAAAATTTAATAATTATTTTATAATAATTAAATGATTTTAATGATCATTTTTTAACGTTACGATCAAGTGCCACAAGATTAAAGTTTCACCTAACGATTTCGTACGATGTTAAATGATAAAACTAAAGTTGATTGTCTAAATTTTAGTGAAAAAAAAAAGAGTTGATTATCTACTTGAACCCATCAAGTGGTCTTAGTGGTAAATGAAAATTTTGTTCTCTTTAGAAGTTATGAGTTCGAACAACTACGTATAAAGATGTGTTATCAGTAGGTTAAAAATATTATGAACATATACTATTCTTGTAACCTTCCTAAACTATTCAAAAGAAAGAAAGGACAAGATTTGGATTGCAAGAATGTCTTAGGAAAATAAAAAAGGTTTCAACTTAGGTAAAGAAAGATTTTAACTTTTCAAAAAAATTGTTATTATTGTGATAATAATAAGGAATTCAGAAGTCAAGAAGCAATATGTCGATGGTATTGTCCATAAATGATCAGGAGCTCAATCGAGTTTTAATACATCAAAAGGTATATGCTCTAGGAGTTACCGAGGTGGAGTACGTAAGCTCTCAAACTGATTTACACAAGCCAGTGTGCATCATCACCACAGTTAAATTACTGGACCGGTCTCCATTGTCTTCGGGAAAAATAGTGATCCTAATAAAACAGCAATCCCGGCTATTGCAACTGTGAATACAAGTCGTCTCCGTGAATATTCAGGTGGCTGCCTTCTCTGACTACCTTGCTCCCTTTCAGCTGGCCTCACATCCCTAAACATAGCTCCCAAATCCATGAAATTAAATCTATGATACTTCGTACTATTCTCTTTAGACAAAGCAGAAAACAAAGAGCTAAATCCTGATACAGTTTTCAGATAACTAAAAGGTAAAAACATCATCGGTTCGAATCTCCAGGTGAGATCAACACAGGTTCAAATATGCACTATTTCCAGGCCTAAAATGCCTTTGTCGGTATAAAATAGCAAGATGAGAAAATAATCTTAACTCGCCATGTTCATCCAGAATGCAGCATTAAACACAAGTGCCCAAAGAACTAGCTCTTGGTATGACAATACATTCAATCGAAAGCAATGAATACTTCTATCAAATATCCTCCTCCGATAACTGAAAGTTACTAATTTTCAGACTGAAATTTGCGAGTACAAATGCCAACTTGCTGCCAAATACTAGAGAGACAAACATATAATCTCACGACATAGGACATCAATAAGCTTAGTCGTACAAAAAATAATTTGTGGAAAAACAATAACTGATTCCAAGCAAAACATTCCAATTGTAAATTATAGCATGTATACCTGGAAGATCCCACATTGTCTTCTGGAATACCATTACACCGTCTTTCATGGTTATATCTTTCTCTCAGTCTAATGTATCTATTACAAAAATGACAGAGCTCTGTCCGGTTCCCGCATACTTCCTAAAATAGCAAAGCACATCAACATTATAACAGTTTCACCTAACAAATATCATTGGAATCCCTTCACTGAAAAACGATTCAAAAATTAGTACCTGATGCTCGGCCAGATCAATAGCAGGCAATGGGAACTCGCAAAACTCACAAGTAACAATCCTCTGGGGGCAATTTTCACCTTTATGGATAGCTAGGATTTCACGTTCCATTGTCTCGCTACACAGTGAACAGGTTACCTGCTTGATATGCATGGAGTCAATAACATCATAAATGTTAACACATGCAAATACCGTGTTGGATTTAAGAGTAGATGTGCAATCGCACATTAGATACCAACTTACATGCATGACTGAAACAAGATACAGATAACCTAACCTAGACTCCCTAAACTTGTAGTTAACTGAACTTATCCATTAAATCATCAATGCTAAGGGAATTACTAGAATCTTTTTGTTTTTTTTTTTTTTTTTGACTTTTAAGGATATTTCAAACCTTCATTGACAATAAACACTTAAGAACGACTTGGTTGAATAATTTCTACCTTACAATCATAATCTTAGAAAATAATCTTCTCTTGACAAATTCATGCATTGAAACCCAAAAGAGAAAACTAGAGCTCAAAAGGGGATAAGATAGAGAGGGGATATTAACTCAAATATCCTTCACTTCAAACAGGCTTTATCAGTTTTCTTCATCAGATCAACTACAAATACTAAGCCAATAAGATGTTTTGCAACCAGGGGAATATGGCAAAGCCAAAACTTTGTTATTCCTACCCTTTCTCCATAGATTTTATTTTAAAATAAAAAACCAGCCTAATAAAAGATCCAAAATTTAGGTACATTTAAATGTTACAAATTATTGCTGTTTATTACGCAATCTTCAAGGGTAAGACAATTTTATTTCTCTAGCACAAATATAGCACTCAAAGGCCATCATAGTGATGGAGAAAGAAGATAGATGAGGAAAAGCAAGTTAAAGAATTAGTTCATTTCAAAAGAACTAGACAAGACTTACCGGAGAATGGGTGTTTAAGAAATGCTCCTCAGCATGCTTTTTGGAACCATATCACCACAAACTTTACATTTTTCAAGATTACGGGAACAATGAGCATAATGCAAGTCTATATTTGAAGAAGGTACGACTCTGTCACTGAACTCAAAAAGGAAAAGTACTAGTTAAAGAGTTTTTCGGTGAGGGAATTTTCAAAACAATTATGTATTTGAGTAAGAGGAACTCAATCCTCATAAAACTGAATTAGAGAACACATCATCGTAACATCAAATTAATTAGCAAATAGCAACCACTTCAAACCAAAAGCATACATTAAGACAAAACTCGGAAAATGATAATGCATTTCCATCTTGCAAGAAAACAAGCCAGTAGACAAACCTCAGTTATCTTTCATCCACAACTCACCTTCCTAACAATGTAAGCACACTTCAATGATGTCATCATTAACTACGAGCATTCATGATAAATAGGAAAAATTGAAAGCTTCAAGCTTTATTCAATATATGCAACACACTTCCCAGTATCAAGTGGATTGCAGAGTTATTGTTAATAGAAAACCAAAAAGAAACACCAGCAATTGTGCTGAAATGTTAAAAAAAATCCGATAATCACAGCCAAATTTTTAAAATTCAAAGGATTTCAACTATGGGCAATGGAAAATGCCGTGATCGGATGATCTAATTCAATCATGAAGGCATAAACGCATCAAGTAAACACGTCTTAGGTCCTGACCGACATCGAAGCAGGTAATTTAACTAAAGTAATTTCTTTCCAGCTTGATTTGGTCAACTTAAATTACTAATCATTTCTTTATACATGAAATTCTAGACAAATCAGGCAACAAAAATAATTAAAAAATAAACCATTTTGTAAGCAGAGAGAAAATTTCTGAACTAGTATAAGAATAGAGAAACTAAGGAGCTGGGATCCAGAAGACAAGAAAAAAGATTGCGTTTAAAACTGAACGAATGGAAATTAATTCTAGAAAAGGGTCACGGAATCATGCTAATAATAAATACCAGTGATCGCATATGCGGGTGGTTTCGTCTGAAGCAATTGTCACAGCCATCCTCTCAAAATCTTTGGTCGACAAAAAGGAAATTCCTAAATCAATTAAAGATGATAAGTTGAGAGGGAAACCGGATGTAATAACTAAATTTCCTAATCAAGATTGGTAATTATACCTGCAAAAAGCATTTGATTTTCGTAGGAGACTCCCCTTCTTTCCTTTCTATTTTCCTTTTTCCTTTTTTTACCAGAAATTTATAAGAGAGAATAGAAATAAAATAAAGGGTAAACTACCTATTAACTCACTAAATTACATGATCAATTCTATTCTGATTACTGAAAACATTAAGTCAATCTACTCATTGGTGGTTAAATCACTAATAATTTATTAACATGGAAGTTTTAAACTTATATAATAATGTATTACTTCTTATTACTTATAAATTCTATCAACTTAATCTTAATTTTAAATAAACTAATTAATTTGATTTTTTATATAAAAAAAATTATCAATTTAATTCAAAAACACACATAATCATGATTATCATCTCTTGCAGTCACCCTAGGCCACCATTTCCACTAGCTCAGAACACCACCACCATTAATTTAACCCGAGTTCATATGCCAAGGCAGCAACTTTAATAACAATAGTAGTAGATATCTTTATGATATTCTTGAATGATAGATAAATTATTGTTATTTTCATAGTGTTTCTCTATCACTTATGAAGCCAAGACTTTGGTTATCACCGGAAAAAAAAAAGCTTTTAGGCTCTAGTTCACCATTTTTATGTATAGAAAACAAATTAAATGAAAGTTTTTAGGTTCCATTTCACTATTTGTATGCAAAAAAACAGGCCGGATGCTTAGAGGGGTTGAGTTGATTCACTTAGTTTGAAGAATATATTTTTTGATTCAATATTTTTTTATGGAATTAATTTTATTTAAATATGGGTTTTGATAAAAAAATATTCTGATTCAGTGATTTATTATTATTTTTTCTTGGGTGATTTAATTCATTTTATTTTTTTAGATATAAAAATGGTTCCAACAATGATGATAGATGACAGTAAAATCGTTGAAAATCGACAGAAAAAAAAAGATTTGATAAATTCAACTTTTGACTAAAAATAATGTAAATCAAATGCTTGGGTTGGAATTTTAACTTTGATGGGTGATTGAGAATAAAATAAAGATAAGATATTGGGTTCAATGAAGAACTATTTTTTTTTTGAGTTCATCAATGAAGAACTAGACTGGTAGGATTGTGGTCA